CCCTAGGAATGGCATGTTCGGAAACACCATGAGCGGTGTATTGATTGGAGGTCAAAGACCTTGAGCGCTACGCGCACATCCTTGGTGGAGCTTTGGCAAGTCATGAACCCACCTCTGTTAGAAGACAAAAGCACTATTGGCAAGAGCACTGGGTCGAGACGGTCAACGTGCTGGACATTGGATTGTCCGAGTTGGTAGACACCAACGGTATATCGGACAGGAGTCTTGAGCGTGGCTCGCGGAGTGATCGTGGATAGGCACGTAACCCACTGAACGCTGCACAATTTTCAAATCAGTCGCTGCATGTCATGCGTGACATGGTCGGCCAAGATCCGAGGCATCGAGGGCAAGGGCCCCGTGATGCACGTGAAGTGGCACGTAAACCACTGAGCACTGCTCTCGTTGCAAAGCAGTCACTGGAGGCATCTTGGGCACGGCCCTTCAGAGGCGCGTGGAGTGGTGCGTTAATCCACTGGACGAAGAGTGCGGGGTTAGCAGCTCTTTGGCGGATGTTGTGGATAACATCGGAGCTCCAAAGGAGTGGACAGCAGGGTGACACCGGACGACGCAGAGTGCGTGTTCACCCTGGTCTCACCGAGGCATAGAACCTCTGTACAAAGGCGACGGCGAGGCCGTATGCTGGCTGCAAGACACCGGGCGTCGACCCTGATCCAGGCAGTGTCAACCGTAGACGATGGCGCACAGTTATACACTCTCGTCAACGCTATGACGGGGAGGAAGATGGCGACGTCCGCTTCGAGGCTATGCCTGCAGTAGATGCTCTTCTTGAGCTGGACGAAATGTCCCTTGAAAAGCTCGGCAGTGCCTAGAAGGCAGGCGATTTGGTCGAAGTGGTCATTGGACGACCGGACAAGAGATAAACTTGTCATCGCCTCCGGATGAAACCTTCTTGGAGGGCACGAAGAGAGAGCTGAACGCACGAAGGAGATCGTCGATTCTACGGCATTCCTTGGATCCATACTATCCTTTGGTAAAGAAATTTCAAGACGTCGTCTCCAAAGACCCGCCTTTAGTCCTACCTCCGGACCGAGGTGTGCGTCATGAGATT